TGGCGATTCTGGATTCTGGAGGCGGCGTTACTACGGCGACGGCGACGGAGAACGGTGGCGGAGATTTTGTGGATCTTCGTCGACGGAAATCGAGATCGGATTCCAACGCACTTCTTTCTGGTTCTGATAACACACCGTCTGATGATGTTAGACCTCCGGCCGACGTTAGGGATCGGATTGATTCCGTTGTTAACGATGACGCTCAGGGAACTCCTGCCAATTTGGCCCGGGATACTGAAATCAGGGAAACCGGTGGTGGTGGAAGAGGAGGCGTAGAAGGGAGAGGAAACGCCGAGACTACGTATACGTATCGACCGTCGGTTCCTGCTCATCGGAGAGCTAGGGAGAGTCCACTCAGCTCCGACGCAATCTTCAAACAGGTAACAAAGAAAACTCGGAAACTGTAACAATTTTTGAAGTTGGTGATTGATACTCGAGGAGAATTTCAAATTGAGTTCCATGTCTAGACTTGCGCTTTCTTTTAGAGAGCGATATGGATTGAGTTTGATGATTGTATTTACATTGCAGAGCCATGCCGGATTGTTCAACTTGTGTGTAGTAGTTCTTATTGCTGTAAACAGTAGACTCATCATCGAAAATCTGATGAAGGTTAGTTGTTTCTTACTCCTACTGCTTTCCAACATTTTAGAAACGAATTGCCTTTAAATCTTTGCTGACAACTTTATCAGAGACTTACATTTGTTGTTTTTGCTATCATTCATCTAGTATGGTTGGTTGATCAGAACGGATTTCTGGTTTAGTTCAAGATCGTTGCGAGATTGGCCACTTTTCATGTGTTGGTAAAAAGATGTTTTTCTCAGCAATGTTACATCCTTATATATATATTATGATTTTAGTGCTTCAGTTCTTCTTTAACTATTCCATTGCAGTCTCTCCCTTTCAATCTTTCCGTTGGCTGCCTTTACGGTCGAGAAATTGGTACTTAAGAAATGCATATCTGAACCTGTGAGTAAACTAATATTCTCCAGCCATTATGGATTTTGTTTATTCCAGAAAATTTTCGTTTTCTGAAGAAACTTATAGTTTTTTTCTTGTAATACTATAGGTTGTCATCATTCTTCATATAATTATCACCATGACAGAGGTTTTGTATCCAGTTTACGTCACCCTAAGGTGAGAATGAATCTAGTGTGTTTCTGGTCTCAGCTTCTGATACCCTTTTTAACTTTAGTTGGCTAACTCTATGATCTTGGAAATGGACAGGTGTGATTCTGCCTTCTTATCAGGTGTCACATTGATGCTCCTCACTTGCATTGTGTGGCTAAAGTTGGTTTCTTATGCTCATACTAACTACGACATAAGAACTCTAGCCAATGCAGCTGATAAGGTAAAATACGAAAAATAAATATTTATGTATTCACTTGCATTGTGTTACTATTTTAACCAGATACTGTTCTAAACTTTAGGCCAATCCTGAAGTCTCCTACTATGTTAGCTTGAAGAGCTTGGCATATTTCATGGTTGCTCCCACATTGTGTTATCAGGTAATGAGATGGGTTTCCTGCTAAGAGCACAACCATTCTTACACTTGCAAGAGTTTCTTGTCTAAACCTCGCGTATTTTCTTTTTTCCCAGCCAACCTATCCACGTTCTCCATGTATACGAAAGGGTTGGGTGGCTCGCCAATTTGCAAAACTGATCATATTCACTGGATTCATGGGATTTATAATAGAACAAGTGCGTTTCCTATACCTTGCTTTATTATTTTTCCTTGGTGATCATCATCCCTGCATTGTCACCACTTGACATTTTTCTGTACTTCTCTGGCAGTATATAAATCCTATTGTGAGGAACTCAAAGCATCCTTTGAAAGGGGATCTTCTATACGCTGTTGAAAGAGTGTTGAAGCTTTCAGTTCCAAATTTATACGTGTGGCTCTGCATGTTCTACTGCTTCTTCCACCTTTGGTATGCTGCGATTCCTTCCCTTTCAACATAATTTCCAAAGTAGAACAACTGAAAAAGGCTACATCTCCTCAAGAAATTGATAACTTAGTTTCTCATAGTCTGTGATGTAATATCAGCTACTCAACACAAATCTCTTTGCATCGGCCTTGTCCACAGGTTAAACATATTGGCAGAGCTTCTCTGCTTTGGGGATCGTGAATTCTACAAAGATTGGTGGAATGCAAAAAGTGTGGGAGATGTGAGTAGTTTTACTCAAAAAAACTTGAGGTTTTTAATGTTATCGTTTTTGGGTCACCTAACTAACCAAATTTCATGTATTCACTCTCTTTCTTGATCAGTATTGGAGAATGTGGAATATGGTATGGTTCTCTTCCTCAAACATCTCCTTCATTTCTGTACAAAATAGAAGAGGAGAGCTAATCAACGTCTTGTTTTGTTTGACAGCCTGTTCATAAATGGATGGTTCGACATATATACTTTCCGTGCCTTCGCAGCAGGATACCAAAGGTGAGTGAGATATATACTAATATGCAATTGTCGAGATTTCTTTCTGTGCTTTATAACTTAAGTCTTTAACCCTCCACTCATTTGTTTTGCAGACACTCGCCATTGTCATTGCTTTCTTAGTCTCTGCAGTCTTTCATGAGGTATATATACTTTCTGCATAGCCCTGTGTCTAGACTCTAGACACATGAACCACATATGTTTGAAGAAATGCCAATATTCAAAGTACTGTTCTTACTTATTGATATCATTTTTAAAAATTTTCCTTTTGATAGCTATGCATCGCAGTCCCATGCCGACTCTTCAAGTTATGGGCTTTTATAGGGATAATGTTTCAGGTAAGAAAGTTAATCTTGCAGTCAGATTTTTCACATGCAATCGGCGATAATATGTCACTTTAGTCTCATTTTCTGACCAACAACCATTGTGGTGTTTGAGTTAGGTGCCTTTGGTCTTTATCACAAACTATATGCAAGAAAGGTTTGGCTCAACGGTATGCTCTCAAAACCCGATAAAATAGAACAACTTACTAATATATAATAAGAGCCGAGCCATAACTTGATAAAGTGTATCTGTTTTGGAATGGGGTCATTATTAGGTGGGGAACATGATATTCTGGTTCATTTTCTGCATTTTTGGACAACCGATGTGCGTGCTTCTGTATTACCACGACCTGATGAACCGCAAAGGATCAATGTCATGAAACAACGGTTCAAAAATTTGACTTTCTTCAAACATAAATGTGGTTATGATGCTAAAAGAAGAAAGAGAGTGTTATAACCATAGAAGAAGAAAAGAAAATTAGAGTTTGTTGTATCTGCAAAAATTTTGGTAGAGACAGAACGGTTTTGAGTTGTGAATCTTCGTTTGTCAGTCTTTTGATCTTTTGGTCTGCTCTTGTCTTTAACCCCCAAGCATGAAGCAAAGTTAGATTGGAGATTTAAGCGATATTGAATTTTGTTATGGTGTAAAGAATAAAATAAAAACTGTTGTAATAATTTGTTCACACAAGAAAAATAAATGGTTTTCCTTTTTCCTGCTTTTGGGAAAAGAAAATACTAGTTTTGTTAGGTTTAACTGTTTGGACAAAATCTAGTAAGTTAAAAACTTTTTTGTAGTAATAAGAAAAAAGACAAAAATGTGATATAAATGGCATTGGGATTGTATCCTAAAATCTACTACTATAAAGTTGATAGGTGGTCCTGTTTGTTGATGGATGACCATTTATTTTAATTTCTTTCTGGGTAGTGTATGTATCCAAAGGAGACAAGACTCTAAATTACAATGAAGTGTCGAAGCCCGAAACATCATCATTGACACTATCAGTAGATACATTACATATGCAGTGTAGTTAGTGTTGTAGAAACATTTTTAATGTGCAACAACAAATAAACACGATAATAACTCAACCTTTTAAAGTAAGTTAGTTATCATAATGTAGACTCTCTATATAGTTTCTACTGATTTTTAGGTGAAGCCATTTAAACTAGATGAAAGAAACTGATCATACTCTTCGTTTATATATATAGATAACCTTATTTAAAAGAGGTCAAAGTAGACAAGTAAAATTTTAAATTTGAACAAGAAATTGTAGTGAAATCCATCAATCAATAGAGATGCATAGTCGAGTTATAAAGAAGAAACCAAAGTTTGTTATACTAGTAATTATGGTTGATTAAGAAAAGAACCACGTGAAGATCACGTGGGGAGATTGGTTTAAACGTAAAAGAATAAGAATTGAGCAGTTAGTAAGAAATTAATAAACGCTCTTCTCTGCTCTGCTCCACCGACTCGGAGGAGACAGCTGCCTCTGACTCAGCTCCTCATTTTGACTTGCCACTTGCCTCTCTCTCTCTCTCTCTCTCTCTCTCTCTCTCTCTCTCTCTCTCTCTCTCTCTCTCTCTCTCTCTCTCTCTCTCTCTCTCTCTCTCTCTCTCTCTCTCTCTCTCTCTCTCTCTTCTTTATTATTGTCTTGTCTATTTTTGTTTTTGAACCTAAAATATACTTATTTTACGTATTTAGTGGGCTAATTTTTTATTGGGTGAATTTATTTCTGACAAAAACAAAGTGAAGTACTATTTTACATATCAGAATAAAATGCCTCTTACTTTGTTTTTTCAGTCCAAGAAACACATGTAAACTGTAAGTCAACATTAAGTATGGTTATTTTCTACATTTTAAAGACATTTTTTTATGTTACGAGAACAAATCTAGAATATATACATTTTAAAATATTTATTGTCTACCAATATGGTATGTTTCTCTTCCTAATTATTTAGCCAATAACAATTATTAGGTAAAGTAATAAAGTCTAACAAAAAAAATTCACAAATTAGTAAGAAAAAGTGTAATGTTATTTTTTGCCCAAATAACTTCCATACTTTGGCTATATAATACTCTATTAAAAAAAAAAACTCTCAATCTCTATAATTATTTGTAAGTTACATTATTTTTTCTTTTTTCTCTTTTGGTCACAGCATTTGTAAGTTACTACTACTACTAAACTACATAAGTAAATCAAAAACCAAAAGATTCTTTCCTTCTCGTAAAAGAAAGAAAAAAAAAAAGAAAAAAAAGGAACTCTCGTCTAACTTTTATTACAAAACCTCCCTCTCTCTCTTAACACATCACTTCTTGTTTCTTCTTCTTTCTTCTTCTTTCTTTTGTCTGAGTATGGAAGACTACAGATCCAAATCGTACGGTGACGGAAGAACATCAGACCTTCAACCATACTCTGCTCACCGGAGATCTGACGGTCCTGACTCATTCAGTGGTAACGGTGGTGGTATGCAAGATCTTAGGTCTTACAGCACTTCCTACACAGAGTACCCGACCCGGATACCCGAAGACCCGAACCCGAACCAGAAGAAAGGGAGATCGTCTTCGTCGTCGTCTTCTTGGGGTGGTTTCGTGGATCCAGATTTACAGAGGAAGAAGAGAGTTGTGAGTTACAGAGCTTATACTGTTGAAGGTAAGCTTAAAGGTTCTTTCAGGAAAAGCTTCAAATGGATCAAAGATAAATGCAACAAATTACTCAATTAAATTTCATTAATCCATTGTTGTGCTTATTGCTTAATCATATTATTATTAAACTTTTTGGTTATTTTCATTTTTTTTCTTTTATATTTGATGATTTCGATCCATTTGTCAATCTTTTTTATATAGAGTTTTTTTTTTTTTTTTTTTTTTTTTGTGTGTTCTTATTAGTTTTTGATAGTAGTAGTAATTGTGTAACATCAACAATTAAGTGATTGTTATTTATTTTTTGACGTATTCTAAATAAAGTTTAAGGTAAGTAGTTACTGGCAAGTTACCATATGTATTTTTCCATAAGTTTTATATTATACTTGCAGTTATTTTTACGATTTATAATCTGCAATATACATATACTTGTCATTAAGTTTTTGTAATGACTCTCTGATTAAATTTGGACGTCATGAGTTTCGTTTCATTTTGTGTCTAAAAAGAAAACACATATGGTTTAAACGAAACTGTTACGGAATTTAATTAACGCAATGTTTTAACGTTACATGACTAAATTACTAGTATCTTACAAATTACAACGTCTTTCTTTAATCTTACAAATTACAACGTGTTTTTTAAATATATGTAAACAGGTAACTTCTTCATTTGTAGTTGTCTAGTTGATATTGGTGTGTTTGAAAGACTATATATTTACATTTGTTGTAAACAGAAGAAAGATTTGTACACTCTAATTTGACAATTTTGTAAAAGACCATGAATATAAGAAATATTGCTTTCATTTATAATGAATGCGATAAATGGTATGTGAAGGAAATGATACGGTAGTCGAATACCGCGATTAGAACATCGATATTTCAGTGCGATATCGTTTCCGTCAAAATACGTTAAACACACACATCGACAACAATAAAATTTAGAGATTAAGGTGCCACGACGACAACGGAATGAGATTGAAAACTCGGTACAAAAACCGTATGAAATGTCGATATAAAACTAAACTACTGTAGATAGAAGAGTGTCGAAACCACGGCGAGAGCAAGCCTTGAAGCTTCAAAATGTGTCCTTTCGCCGAGCAAATGTTACGGATCATTCTTGCTTCATCTTCTTCGAGCGGTCTTTGTGACTTTTTAATTGATCATTGAATCTTGGTGAGTTTGTTTCTTTGTTTGTTGCATCAATTTATTTCACATTTTATGGCTTTGGTTGTGTTGTGCCAACATCTTAAAGCCTAACTTTTTGAAATGAGACGGTACGTACGTACGTTGTAATTCTAGGTATTGAGAATATGAATACATCAAACGCTCTCCCTACCGACATGGCACATAATGCGTGAACAGTAAGTTAGTAATACACAGTACTAGTTGGTGTCTCAACATCAGTCGAGTTATCTTTTTTTTTTTCTAATTAAAAACCAACTAAAAGGTTAAAAGTAACAAATGGGGCTAAAAGATGTATCATAGACAAGGAAAATTCGAAAGGTTTCTCTATACAAATGGAGGAGACCAATCAATATTTGAAGAATCATAGTTTAAGCACTTTTGGTATATATATCTATATATCTCTCTCTCTCTCTTATATATATCATTTCTCTAACTGTGAAATAGGCTTTCTTCAAAAGAATCATAGACAGCATCATTAATCGAGACAAGCATCAGGTGAATACCGGTTTTTGTTTTATAGCTTCTTGTATGAATCAGTCAGAGAGCTTTGCTTTGGGGTTCCACATCGTCTCCATTTGTTTGTGGTGATGCTGCTGTCTCATCGCCTGCATTGTTATTGATCCGCAAACCATCAATGCCTTTGAGTGTGGTTTCGTAGTTTGCATTGTCACTCCCGCCACTAAATGGTTCACGGCTACTTGAGTCCACAACTCGTCTTGATGATGATCCTTCTGATTGACCCAAGTTTAATGATCCAGGTAGCTGAGTAATCAATGGATCACACAATGAACATCCCAATTCAAAAGATGGTACCCGAGAAGAAAAAATAGTATGACAAGAAACGTACCAGCTTGTCCTTTGCAATTGCAGATTCATTTACATTCTTGTCTTTCTGCTTCAGGGTAAAATCCGGATTTGTTCTCTGATTTGGGACATCTATGGCAGAAAAACACGTCTTAAGTATATACACACCTATGTGGCTGCGTTTTCTTAAAGAAGGATAATACGCATTTCAAAAATATACCTGGACGTTTCTCAGAATTGCCAATCGCAGGGTTAAATCCAGAACTAGTTCCAACACCACCATCCTGACAAAAGAAACATAAACAATCTTGCATTATTCATCTGTGTATGTACATGTATCTTGGACGGCGCCCAAAATTAAAAGTATCAAGAGTGTACCTGGGGACGAGCTTGAGGGTTTCCAGATTGTGATTGCTGATACTTAAATACTGTCCAGTCAAACACAAAATCAAACTGAAAACCTGGATAAACAAACATTCATTTGTTGTCAACAAATACTTCTGTATGAACTATGAACATTACATTAATAGCCTGACAGGAAGAAGGAGAGATAAAATGAATGACCTTCACGAATAAAAAGGTTGCGGAATAGTCTCTTCAAATATGCATAGTCTGGCTTGTCATCAAATCTAAGTGAGCGGCAGTAATGGAAGTAGGATGCAAACTCAGTTGGATGACCTCTGCATAACGTCTGCAATGACACTGATGCAAAGTTAGAGTAATATCTATGATTAAATAACTTCTTACTACATGGACTTGTATTAAGTTTCTAAATGTGCACTTACTTCAATGGAAGTTGAAACCTTCTTTTCGCTGATCTTATCATATTTCTGTTTCTTGTTCCCAGCTTTCAGTCCCTGCCATGGGAGACTTAAAAAAAAAAAGAGGATATAAGAGATAGATTCGGAGACAAGAAGCACAATAGAAAGAAAGGTTACTTAAGACTCTCACCTTCCCTTGAGAAAATACATGAGGATATATCCAAGCGATTCTACATCATCTCTCCGACTTTGCTCTACCAAGTGTATAATGTACAGATGAACAGAAGAAGATTGAGGTAAGAAAAAGTAGCCCGGAAAAGAGAGAACAAGATCCGCGATTATCAGGAGGGTTTATAGAAAGCTACCTATCCCTAGGTGAGTGTTCAAGCTGGCATACCTCGGAGTCCCAATTAGACTTTTATTCTCCCTGAAGAATTTATACACAAAATGTATGCATAAACAAACCTGAAGTCAGAAAAAAATCTGATTCTGACATCCAAAACCTTACTACCTGTATGGGATGTGCCTATGAGTTGAGCTGTCTCTGTATTTCTTAGCCAAACCATAGTCTATGATGTATACCTAGAGAAAGAGATCCAAACAAAAGTCATACAATAGTGAGATCCCGAAACCAATGTTAATACCCCACATGTGTTTATGAAGAAAGATGACCTGATTTGCCCGCCTTCCCAAACCCATGAGGAAATTATCAGGCTTTATATCACGATGAAGATACGACTTAGAATGGATGAACTCGAGACGATTGATCTGACAGAAGATGTACATCAAAAGGTGATGGAAACCCAGGACTGAAAGAGTTGCATTAACAAAATGAGAATGCATCAATGAATTCAAAAGCCTTACCATTTGATCAGCTAGCATAAGAACTGTCTTCAAGCTAAACTTCCTATTGCAATAACCAAACAGATCTTCAAGACTTGGACCAAGCAAATCCATCACTAAAACATTGTAGTCCCCCTCAATCCCATACCATTTCATATTTGGAATCCCAGCTACATCAACCAACGAACATACACAAGAAGATGAATAACGGCAAACAACTACATAGTCAATGAGAATCAAAACAATAGAAACATCGCATACTTCCACCCTGAAGAACTTTGTATATCCTCGACTCATATGCCAACTGTGGATGCGCAGTTTTCACACTTTCCTGCAACAAAAAAAACTCAGCTTTTCATGATCCAACTCTCCAAAATTGGGACTTTTAACTTCAATATTGCAACAGAGTTTAGAACGAACAGACTCACAAGCTTAATAGCAACCTCTTCGTTAGTCTGAACATCAGTTCCTGCAATCACAAAGGAGTAGAAAGGATTAATCTCTGCAAGTAATAGACTTAGTCACATGAGAGGGTGAGAAGTACGAACCAAGGTAAATCTCTCCAAATGAGCCGCTCCCAATTTTGCGGCCAAGGCGGAACTTATTCCCAATACGATGTTCCATCCCCAATTGAAAGAAAAGAAAAACCCTAACTTGCTGGTGTTGGTTCGTTCTACTCTACGTTGTTGAGCCAATCAATTTACCGGAGAGAAGAGTGAAGTGCGAGAATTAACAACGAAGAGGGTTTCACGGAGAAGAGAGGACGAATCGAGTAGTTGAAATAGGAAGTGAGTTAGGTGAGGAAACTAGAGAGATTCCATGGAGTTTTTTTTTTGGTTGGGTAGCAAAGAACCAACAAAGGACGAAGAAGAAAAGCTGCGCGTGTGCGTGTGCTCGCGTGTGTCGCTTAGCCCTGTGGTCTTTTTCATTTCTCATATTTCCCAAAATATTGATACTGGATTTATATAAATGTCTGAAATATGTTTTTTTTTTTTTTAACATTTTCCTGGACTTATAACATTAAGGATTTTGTACAAATAGATCCTCCAAAGTCACTATTTTTGGTAATTGTATCCTTCAAATCCAGAAAATGCAAATCAATCAGACAAAATCAAAATAAACATGCAATATAGTCCGTTTTCAATACTATCACGTTTGTAAAAATCTGCTAGTTTATATACGGATGCTATATACAATCTCCCGCAGGTGAAATTCCAAGGGACAAGGCATTTCTCCACCCATAAAATTTCATCTCTCCGACAACAAGGGTAGCGAAATAGATGCACTGACTGGATGTGTTTGTGAGGAAGTCCGCAAGACGCCTCTTGATTAGTCCATTTGCATTAGTTACGAATAATTAAGCATCAATTACCAAGTGAGAGAGTGACCGCATGGATTTCATCATCATGAAAAGCCAGCCAACCTAACCACATAGTAATTAGGAGAAGTGTGTTTAGATGCAAATAGTAATGATTTATGATCTTTATAACATACGGGGAATTCATATTAAATGATGTTAAAGTTTAAATAAGGTTTGACACCTATAAATATTTAAATATTTATCATGCAAGCAATTTTGAAAATAACAATTATATACAGTGCAAGAAATTTCTTTAATTATAATTCTAAAATGTAAACATGGATTCTGAATTATAAGCAATCTCGTTTGTGGTTGTTAGCATAAATAAATTCAATGTTCAAACAATAATTAATTTTAAATAATAACATTACTTTATGTTTCCATATCTTAATATATATATATATATATATATATATTCATATTGAGCATTATATGAAAAATAAAATATACCCATTTTAATATTATATATAGGCATTGACAAAAAAAAAAAGAAAAATTCACTTACTACTATAATATATTGAAACTTATTCTAAAATATATAAAATAGAAAATTTTGTACCAAATAAAATTCATCTCGTGCTAATTAAGCACGAGTTATGATCTAAAATATATATACATATACAATATAGGATTGCATGAACCTAATTTTATATTTAAAATAAGAAGAGAAAAAAATCGTTGATATAACAAGTTAATGTTGTCAATTATATCAGATTTATGAGATCCATATATCTCAAACAAACATATTTGCTTCACAACTCGAATTAGATCTATTGAAGTTGTGAAACGAGTTGTCAAACCCAATATATGATCGCATTCATTAAGGCTAACGATCTTCCCTAAATAGATCTAGAGAATTTGGAAAACGATTCCTAAAATCTTGCGATTCCACCATCAAAATCAAAGTGTGATCATCTAAGTTATTAAGCTATTGTTCATCAAAAACTTGAAACGGAAAAGAGAATCTACCATGAGCTAATCAAAGCGGCGCCAATGTCTATTTTAATCAAAGTATTCAACAAAAATTAACCTTGTTAATTTGTTTCATCAATGAAATAACATAGTAATTATTTTGAGGTAAACAAAATTTAACAGCTAATCAACAAAATTTACAATCTAATTGAGAGTTTATTAAAAATTAACTAAATATTTCATATAATGGAAAGTTAATAATTTGTTTTCAACACTTGAGAGTTAAGTTTTTTTTTTTCTAATGTAAATCTAATTTTCCAAATCGTAATTTTTTCGCTTAGGTCTTGCAAGACTATATATATATATATATTGATTCATTCTCTATTGTCATAAAAATACATATCAATTAAAATAATAAACTCAATAATATTGACACAATTTTATATGTATTTACTAATTTTGTCTTTCAGTCATTAAGATTTGAGTAACCTGCTAGAATGCTATTTTGTAAGTCTTATTTGTCCACAAAAACCAAGTCGAGGTTACCTAATGTTTATGTAATCTTCCATTGACATTGACTTGTTCATCTAGACTTTAGAAACCTAATTTGCTTATGTTCGACCATTAATTAGCTTACTTGTATATTGGTACAGAAAATCCTAAAATTGACGTTCAAGGCATCATACTTAGCAGAAGAAAAATGAGTTCACCAGCTCCATGTAATCAAGAATCTCTTATTGTGGCTACAAACTTAACTAGGTCAAATGAAAATAAAAGATATGTTTCAAAGGGTGATACAGCTCAAAAACTGGTATGAATTGGGGACTGTAAGAAGAGCATCCAAGTGTTCAACCTCCCCCCAAATCTGTAATCCAGAGGAGCCAAAGCGCTTATCCAACCTAATCACCGCACACCAAAACATCTTGGTTTTGCATACATATTCTCGCTTCTTCCCGGCCACCGGAATCTTGAGATTCCTAGGCTTGTACCATATAACGATGAGTTTCCCACTATGGTTAGCTAACCGAATTATTGAAGGGTTGCAAATACCACCCTTGAAATACAGATCTTCCAAACCCGCAACTTCTAACCAGATTCTACGGTCTGAGTCGTACCACCTGAACGTATACCGCGTGGCCTTAGTCCACAAGAACTTAACGAAATAAACACTGATTTTTACATTTCCTACAATGCACCAAGCTGCACTCGTTTCCAAACGCAAATTACCCACCTCTAGTGATGGCTCCCATCTTCCCTGTTTTGTATTATACACGTAATGCCCGTTTTTCACGTATAGCTTTCCTCTAGCAAGGGAAAGCTTAGCAGAGACATCGAAAGGGCAAGAAAATGGCTTCCAAGTCTGAGTCTTTAGATCAAAAACCTCAGATGATGGTTCCTCTGTTCCTCCAATAACATATATCTCGCCGTCTATAAATGCAGACTCGGCACTTGTCCTTGCCACCGTCATGCTAGGGGCATCACGCCACGTGTGAGTCCGACAATCAAGCACACGAACGGACGAGGAGGGCTCGTCGTTGATGGTTCCGCCCATTTGGTAGATCTCGAACCCGACTGTTACCGTGGTTGACATCGATGGAGCAGAGCAGGACGTGGGTGGTGTTATAGGTGACAAGTTTGACTCATCCATAATCGAGCCGCCATTGGTAATTAGGGTTTGATTAAGAACGTACCAGCGATCATGAGTGGGTAAGTGTTGGCATAGGTAGAGGCAAGGCTCTGTTTTTTGGACATGGGAGCGAGCAGGGTAGAGCTCTGGGGAAGATAGGAGAGATCGGATGCTCTTGCAGACTAAGGAGAGGGAACGGTAGTGAGATTTGGAGATTCGAGCTAAACAATTCAAAATTATTTCATCGGGAAGTGATGAAAACGACGGATGAGGAAGAGGACTTGTTGTAGCATTCCTCCTTCTCTCCCTCTTCTTCTTCTTCTTCTTCTGCGGTGGCGGCTGCTCTACTTTAGCAACGACGGTGGTTAGGTTTCTTTTAGGTCTTCTTGAATACAACATCGTCTATGGGAAATTTTACGTGGAGTCCAAGAATGTTTATTAGATCTAGTTTTCCAATTTATATGTAATATCGACTGGGCTAAAATGAGATAATATTGAGTTGGGCTTCATAATTGATAATATTGTTGACGGTTTGGAATTTTCGGGTTTTAGGGGTTTTTGGATTTTAGGAAACAACCATTTGATAAATAAATTTTATTTCGGTTTAACTAAATTATTAATGAAAAGCCCTTCAATAATTTTATAGTTCTACTGCCTAAACGTACTTTTTTACTAAGTAATCTTTTGCGTTGTTGCATGTTAAAATATAACATGTGTATACTTATTCTTTTAAAACTTAAAACAATACAATGTTTGTTCAAAAAGAACATGAATTACAACATATATATATAAAAGTCTTAGCTTTAAAAAATTTCAAAGGAAAATCTCAACTTTCATTTTGATTATAAATTGATTTTTAAATTGAATCATACTGTGTTTTTTTTTTGAATTTTTATTTTAATCGTTACTTTTTATTGATTTTACAAAAATACCGACGTTATGAAGTTAGTGAGTAGAGTAAACGAACGAGGTTAAGTATATGTTAAAATTTTGGTCGCATTATAAAATGACACTGTTTTAGTAAAAGAAAAAATGAGTCAAATTTTTTTTTACATCAAAAACTTGATCTATTTACTTCAAAATTACATCCATCAAAGAGCCTCAATTTCATAATCAAGCAGCATTAGTTAAGTATATGGTTCAAATCTCATATTTATGTTATTTTAAATCAAAGCGGCACCGTTTATATTTTAATGAAAGTTTTGAACAAAAAATTAATCCTATTAATTTTTCTAGTCAATGAACTTATAACAATATAATTATTTTAGCAAGGTAAACAAAATTAACAACTAAAATTAGAAATCAACAAAATTTAAAATTTAAGTGAAAATTTATTAAAATAACTATTTATTGAATCCAATGAAAATTTGATAAATATTTTCAAGACTTGAAAGTTGAGACTTTTTCTAATATACATTTTCCAAAATCATACATATATTGTCGCTTAGGTCTTGTGCAAAAAAATAAAAAATGTCCAGTTATGTCGGTTTGCTAATTTCCTCAAAACCCTTTTTCTTATGTATTTTATTTATTTATTCTCTATTGAAACAAAATTACATATCAATTATAATCATAAACTTTAATATATTTTCACAATATCATATTTTCTCATAGTTTTTTGGTTTGGGCCTTCTTGGCCATTATGAATAAACACGGCTTTGCTCTTTTCAATTTTAAAAACATAAACCCAAATATATATTAAAATAAAATAAATATAAAAAATAAAGATATTGTCGCTTATACAAAAGTGACCAGTTTATACGGTCTGGTCATTTTCTCAAAGCCCCTTCCTTTATATAATAAGTTTTTTTTCTTATTTGTCCCCAAAAATCTAGGGTTTTAAGGTTTCTTATCCTTCCTCTTCCTCCGCCAGATTCTTTTCTTGCGAAGATGAGCAACGACAAGGACAACATGAACATGGCCGATCTCACCGCCGGTAACTTTTTCTGTCTTATATTACTCTAGCCAGAGGCCTGGGTTCTCTTTTCTTTTCTTGATTTATTGAAAAAAGCTTCTCTTTTTGTGTTTTGCTTATAGCTCTCAACGAGGAGGATCGTGCCGGGCTTGTTAATGCTCTCAAGGTGAGGTTTTTATTCATGATATGATTTGGGTATGTCTATCTAGAGATTGGGTTTTCATCTATGTTAACTTTTAGGGATTGAGTTTTTTTTTTTTCTAAAGAATTGATTTGATTAAAGGGTTTAGAGAATTGGGGTTTGGTTTCTTCTTCTCTTGTTCTTCGGTTTTGAGTATTGTCTCTGCTTCTTAATCTGATTGTTTGGAAGTTTTGTGGCTTTTGATAGCTGTTGTACTTTTCCCTGATTTGTGTGTTTGCTGCAGAACAAGTTGCAGAATTTGGCTGGACAACACTCTGATGTCCTTGAGAACTTGAGTCCGATAGTCAGGAAGCGTGTCGAGGTTCTAAGAGAGATTCAGGTGAGTTTAAAATTTTAGCTTTATATGATTTTGGAACTAGCCTTTAAATATGTGATCTTGGCTTTTCTATTTGTTTTGAATAAATTGGCTGTTGTGTTGGGATGTGATTTGATGGAATGAACAACTGTTTGATTCCTATTCCTTCTTTGCAGAACCAATATGATGAGATGGAATCAAAATTCTTCGAAGAGAGGGCAGCTCTAGAAGCTAAATATCAAAAGCTATACCAGCCTTTGTATACCAAGGTTTGAAAACGGTCTTTGATTCTTTCAGCTTCTTGTGGTCTTTAATTTCCTATTATTAGAATATCTTTGTTACTTATATGCCACCTGCTGAAGTGATGAGTCTTAAATATAAGACTTTCTTGAATGTTAGGGATGCATGTTCTTTACTCTCTTTTTTCTGCACCATTCTTGATTATAACTGATTCTAATGGTTTTCCTCTTTTCTATTCCCCAATCACATACAGCGTTATGAGATTGTGAACGGTGTGGTTGAAGTTGAAGGTGCAGCTGAAGAAGTAAAATCAGAACAAGGTGAAGATAAAACACCTGAAGGTATTTTTTTCGATTCTTACACTGAAATATGTTTATATTATTAGTTTGTAATGACGATGGTGACTCATGTTTCTAAATGATATAAAATCCTTTTTTTTCAGAGAAAGGAGTGCCAGATTTCTGGCTTATTGCATTGAAGAACAATGAAATTACAGCTGAGGAGGTTTGTTACTAGAATACTTCTTTTTGGTCTATCCAAAAATGATTCTCTTTATCCTTATGTGTTCTTTTTTCCATGGATTTAGATAACTGAGCGAGATGAAGGGGCTCTTAAGTATCTTAAAGATATCAAGTGGAGTAGGGTTGAAGAACCTAAAGGGTTCAAGCTTGAGTTTTTCTTTGATCAGAACCCTTACTTCAAGAACACTGTCTTGACCAAGACATATCACATGATTGATGAAGATGAGCCTATCCTCGAGAAGGCCCTTGGGTAATCTTTTACTTTGTCAAGTATTTACTCTTTTTCTTAATTCTGAAGCGAGAGCTCTTTATTGATTGTTTACTGTTGCTCAGGACTGAGATTGAATGGTATCCTGGAAAGTGTTTGACACAGAAGATTCTAAAAAAGAAGCCAAAGAAAGGATCGAAAAACACAAAGCCAATCACTAAGACTGAGGACTGTGAGAGTTTCTTCAACTTTTTCAGCCCACCTCAAGTTCCTGACGATGATGAGGATCTTGATGATGACATGGTATGTCTATACCCTGTGGCAGTTTAACTTTTGATTCAGTACATAAGATTCTGCTAAACATTAATATGAATATGATCATTGAATCTTGCGCAGGCTGACGAACTCCAAGGCCAAATGGAACACGACTATGATATCGGGTTTGTACCTTTTTTTATTTCATCTTTTATTCTCTTCACTTGATTTCTAATTCTAGGATCTGAATCAACCCAACTGTTTATCCTGTAGATCAACCATTAAAGAAAAAATCATATCGCATGCTGTGTCATGGTTCACTGGTGAAGCTGTTGAGGCAGATGACCTTGATATGGAGGAAGACGATGATGAGATTGATGAAGATGATGATGATGAAGAGGACGAGGAAGATGATGAGGATGACGAGGATGATGATGAAGAGGATGATGACGAGGAAGAAGAAGCAGATCAAGGAAAGAAGAGCAGAAAGAAGGTAAACTATAATGTGATTTTGGTTTCACTTTATATTTCTAATGTAAAACTAAAACCTCTGAAACTGATTTGGTGGTTTCTTTTTCGCTTTCTTTTGCAGTCATCAGCTGGTCACAAGGTTCAACTAATCTACTGATGGATATGTCTCTTGTTGATAATCCAACGGCTGTCACTAACCTGAGATCTCAATTTTTTGTTTTTTTTTTGAACAGAAGGCTGGAAGAAGTCAAGTTGCGGAAGGTCAAGCAGGTGAGAGGCCACCGGAATGTAAGCAACAGTGAAGAATCTGAAGAAAGGAGAGTGTGAGGTCTTTGAGCCGAGGTTGTGTTTCTTAATTTGCAGAGTCATGGTCCGGTTTAATTATATATCAAGTTTTGGGTGGTTGGTTTGTTGAAAAAAAAAAGAAAAATTGGTTCTTTGGTTGGTTTTTGTGTCTTTGATTTTTCATTTGTAATCTTCTTATGAATTTGTTTCTAAGTTATAATATTTTGTCGTTCTGGTCAGATTTTCGATCTCAATTCAATTTATTTTCGACAACGAAATCATTTGGTTCCACAGAACCGTATTTAATCAGTTCATACTTAACATGTCTGTTGTAGAACGCAAAATTTATTTTAACCGAGGAATCTAATATACATAAACCAACAAAAGAGACGGTTTAGGCGTCGGTTTGAGCTAAGAAAGACAGAAGACAAAACATGTGTGTCGACTTGTAAAGAACCGATCAAAACAATGGTTCGAAAGGAGGGAAACGAAAACCTAAAACCCTAAAAACTTCTCCTTTTTTTTCGCATTTCTTCTCTGTGTTTTCTCTTCTTTCTCCAGTTCATAAAACTCTCACTTCTGGGTAGTTCAAAATTTTCCATTTTTTTGATCCCTCGTGTTTTCTTGGGTCTGTTTCTTTAACTGTGGTTTAGTAAAAGTGGAGAAGAAGCTTTAGTACTTTTCAATGGCGAGGATACTCCGTAACGTGTCTTCTCTGAGACGCTCTCTGTTCTCGTCAGAGGTATTTATATTTTTTTATTCTCACTTGGGTATTGTCAGATTTTTAAAACTCTGTTACTGTCGTTTTCATTGCTTAATTGAGTGTGTTTTGATTAATCCCATATGAAATAAGAATAAATCCCAAATTTTGTGGCTTTGTTTGATTTCGTTCTCTTATTGTTTGGCTTGGTAAATTACTAAATTTATTGAGAAAGTTTGGTTCCATGGGTTTTGCAGGTATTTAATAGCAGTGTGGTTGGAACATCATTTCAGCTTCGAGGCTTTGCTGCCAAAGGTTGTTTAAAGCTTTAACCTTTGTGTCTATGAATCGATATACTGAAACTGGTCTTTCATTTGATTAGATGAATATATATGTACTTTCGATAAATACTAAAGGCAAATCCTTTCTTTTTCTGATTGCTCTGCTCAGTGTGGTTCTTACAGTTGAGGTTTTTGCCATTAACTCTGCAATTGTTTTGCTTTTGAAGCTAAAAAGAAATCTAAGTCAGATGGAAATGGATCATCTGAGGAAGGTATGTCCAAAAAGGAGATTGCTCTTCAGGAAGCACTTGATCAGATTACAAGTTCATTTGGCAAAGGGTCAATAATGTGGCTCGGTCGTGCTGTTTCTCCTAGAAATGTTCCAGTTTTCTCTACCGGATCTTTTGCCCTCGATTTAGCATTGGGAGTCGGTGGTCTTCCTAAGGTATTATCTGCCTCTTGGTAGTATTATTCTTTCCCCAAAATGTGTCTTTTAGTGTTCAATAGGTTGGTTTCATTTCGATGTTTAGCTTTGTTAATGGAGTTTTCTGTATATCTCTATGTATCTCTTTGAAGAGTCCAATGATATTGGTCTCCTAATTGTGAATTCCATAGGGGCGTGTTGTGGAGATATATGGTCCTGAAGCATCAGGAAAGACAACACTTGCTCTTCATGTTATTGCAGAAGCACAAAAACAAGGAGGTTGTTACATTTCTTTAACTCCTCGGTTTACAGTGCCATATTGTATAGAAAAAGATGTCTTATTCTAAAGAAGTTTGTTGCATACAGGAACCTGTGTCTTTGTAGATGCTGAGCATGCTCTTGACTCGTCACTTGCTAAGGCAATCGGTGTAAATACAGAAAATCTGCTTCTTTCACAGCCTGATTGTGGTGAACAGGCCCTTAGTCTTGTGGACACTTTAATCCGAAGTGGTTCAGTTGATGTTATTGTAGTTGACAGTGTAAGTAAGGTGATTTATATGGGATGGGTTATGGGTTGATGCTTTTGCTTTGAGATCTATATTTTGCTCTCTCATGATTTCATGTGATTTTTGTTATATAGGTGGCTGCTCTTGTACCTAAAGGAGAACTCGAGGGCGAGATGGGTGATGCCCATATGGCTATGCAAGCCAGATTGATGAGCCAAGCTTTGCGTAAATTGAGCCATTCTTTATCGTTATCACAAACACTTCTGATCTTTATAAATCAGGTAAGATAACGTTAGTAGCTGAGATTTGTTGAAAAGTTCCAGTATTCAAAATGTAAAGTCTCTTATGCGATTGTGTCTGTACTTCTTTTGTTTTATATTCAGGTGAGATCAAAATTATCTACATTTGGAGGATTTGGAGGTCCAACAGAAGTTACGTGTGGTGGAAATGCTTTGAAGTTTTATGCTTCTATGCGTTTGAATATTAAGCGAATTGGACTTATCAAGAAAGGTGAAGAGGTAAACTTCCAAAACCCGCCACCTACACAATTTCGGTTCCAAGCTCTTATCTTACATCTTTTTCTTAGGACCTGTTTTATGTTGGTGATGTGTGTTTAACTGATAACTAAACTTTTCGATTGGATCCTTAGTTTCAAACAAAACTGACCTTCAGAATGACTTAATGTTGTCTACAAGCTAGTGTTTGAAACACTAAGATTGTATGCTTTTGTGCAGACAACGGGGAGTCAAGTCTCGGTGAAGATAGTGAAGAACAAACTCGCTCCGCCATTTAGGACTGCTCAGTTTGAGCTTGAATTCGGCAAAGGAATCTGCAAGGTCACAGAGATAATCGACCTGAGCATAAAGCACAAGTTCATCGCGAAAAACGGAACATTTTACAATCTCAACGGTAAAAACTACCATGGGAAAGAGGCCTTAAAGAAATTCCTGAGACAGAACGAATCTGATCAAGAAGAGCTCATGAAGAAGCTTCAAGACAAGCTCATGGCCGATGAAGCTGCAGATAAGGAATCTGAATCTGAACCAGAGGAAGAAGATTCACTGAGAGTTGTGGTTTCACCGGACAACACAGATGATGAATCAACAGCTCCTGATGTTGTTGCTGCTGCAGTTGTCGTTGAAGCAGCATGATCAGAGACCTCCGGTTTAGTATAATATGCTTCCTTTGGCTGAGAGTTTTTCGGTTTAATCTGGTTTGGATTCGGTTTCCCGCTCCTCATGTAATTTTTTGTCCGAGTTAAAATCACATTTTACATGTTAATCGTTGCTGTGGGTGAGAAATTTTTGTAGCTTTGATTATTAACTAAAACAGTCTACGAGACTACAAGCATATCTGTATATATGTTTCTAATAGAGAATTAAGACTTAGTCAAAAGATGTCTTGCCCTGGAGACAAGAGTTTCTTGGGATCAAATAGCTCTTTCCTCTTGGAGAAATCATTCCATTTTGATCCAAAATGCTCAATCCAATCTTCCTTTCTAGTGTAACGCATTAGATATTGCTTAATCTTAATACCTGAATCCTTGCAAAACCTAATTATCTTAGCGTTAACGCTCTCCATTTCTGGCAAAGTCTGTGGAGTAGCGGATTGTAGTAGTCCGATAACGTATATAACATCTTCATCGATCTCTGGTATCATCGCCGACATACGATTGTCCCATCTAATAGTTACAACAACAAATCATCTACTTGTTGTTCTTGAAGATAAATGTATGAATAGAGAGAAGAAGGTACGTACTTATTCCGGTTTGTGGGATAGAGGAGAGCGAGTCCTGAAGCTGTTTTTTGCTTAAGAAGAATGTCTTTGACAACACCGTTATGAAAATCAAGAATCCGAGATTTAGGAACGTATAGGTTAAGCCACGGATGAGGAACTTCCCATAAACCCAATGATCTAAGTTTGTTTTCTTCGACTTGTACACGGTTCAAGAAATCGAAATAGGACACGTCGTGCATTGATATGAACCCGGGCAAGTAACTTAGGCTTTGCTTAAGCTTGTCAACCACCTACCAAGTATAAATGATATTTAGTTTGGTCTGAACTATGAATCTATGTATGTGATAGTGCAATGAGATGATGTGTAATGTGATCAAGATGGTGAACAAGTATAGTACCTCGCGGATGATGGGAAGATTAGGGTCATCATAATACTTGGCAGTTTCGAGAACGTAGATGATACCATGCTTCTTCACTAAATCAGTGACTTTAGATTGATCGGACGGTGGGAAAAAAGAAGTGTCAACGACGCCGTTGGACATAAATATTTGGCCTTCTAAATAGTCAACTCCAATATCATTAGCCATTGATATCAAACGTTCTTGATCCTTTGTAAAAGCTGTGAAGTCACTGTATAGCATCCGAAACCATTTCGCCTACACAATTTTTTTCATAAGAAACAACAAGAAAAGTTCTCTTTAATTTATGCATACAAATATATAAAGAAATAAATCATGTTATTTTGCACATTCGTTTTTATTCAAAACACACAAAGCAAAACATTGCGCAATGGAAATTAAATAAAGGATGTTCCAATGTTTTCTCTATATTAATTTACCAACGACCTTACATTATTTCTAAACTGATAACCAAATATAGAGTTTACCACGTTTATAAGATTCTTAATTAGTCAACAAACTTACCATTAATATACAAACGTACCCAAAGACTATATTTATATTCAACTCTTTGGAGTATATTTGACTAATCAAGGAGCTTGACTCTAATAGACAAAGATTATATATTGACATCAAAAAGATTTGCATGCATAAGACAAGATTGGACAACCAAGTCCTAGGAATAATGGATTATACATAATAAAATAAGCCATATCTTTTTTTTATTCAATGCATAGATTTTGTTCAAATTAATTCAATTTTATGCCTTTGACCTTAAACTCCAAATTCCTACCAAATTAATTGTATACCTAATTTTTAGTTTTAGGATACCATCTAAGAAAGCTTCATGTAATTTGTGATCCATACGTCTCTAACACTAGATCTTTAGTGTAAAACTAAATCATAACACGTTTTAAACATATATTATACGCTTTTATTGTAGGGTAATTATAGTATAACATAATTACAAAAAGACAAAAGAAAAATTAGTCTTAAGAATATTTTGTCTAAATATTCACAAGACAAAATTTACATGAATATTATTGGCTACCCGTTTTTATACTGCTTTTAATTTCTTTCTTTAGTTTTGAAAAAAGGCTAACAATCATTCTTGTCCTAAATGACTAAAAAATCTATAATAATATAGTCTGGTTTGCATAGTTTTCACTTTTCAACTTTTCATAGCCAGAAGCTTTCTTTCACAAATGACATTTTCTATTATATTATATGTCAAATAGAAATTGAAAGGTAACTACTAATTAAAATCGGGATATGGAATGTTGACTAAATATTAAATTAATACTTAATTATATAAATCCAATACAATGGACAGAAAATAAATGGTAAGATGTGATGATACGTACCCTTTTAGGTGCATGGTCCAAAACAATTCTGGCTCTCGTTATAATCCCAAATTGACCCAAACCTCCTAACACTCCATAGAACAATTCTGAGTTTAGCTTTGGCGAGCATGTCAACATTTCACCTTTCCCTGAAATCAATATACATTGAGAAAACAAACACAATTTGAGTTTATCGTAAAGAGTCTTTCTTATATAATATTCAGTGATTCGTGAAAAAATATTATTTATGAGTTATTCAGTGATTCACACAGTTCACAGTTCCTTCAAATGAAATTTGAACCCAAGAACAACAAGAACATGTCTATTACAAAAAAAAAATCTAGGTTACCGTCATATTAATGTTGATGGTAATCAGAAATGTCAACCCACATAATTGTTTTAATTCGTTGACCTATCCCTTTTATAATTTAATATTAAGATACGCAGAATCTATGGAATATATAATAGATTAGATGCGAGAAAAAATAATAATACGTCTCTACAAATAGTTTTGTTGAAAAAAATTATATTTATTCTTACTTACTTGACAATACTAATTTTATGTAATTTACATACGTAAGAAATAAGAAAAACCTTTCATAATATGTAAAATGCATAAACCATAACTAATAGTATACTATTATGTTAAAAAAAAAAATAGTATTTCTTTCTACCAAAATTTTAAAAATTTTAGTGGAAGTTTTTATTTCTCAAAAAACAACAGAAAATCTAGAAACCTGCAAAGGTCCATTTACATGCGTCATGCATGTACATGTACATTACCAAAAAAAAAGACAAATTAACACGCAACCAACTGTGGTTAGTTTTGTAGAAAACACAAAAGTTTCATGAACGTACAATAGTATTTTATATATATCTTAGATGCGTTACGCATTTTGTATTTCGAAGATTCCATTGCGTGTGATGCAAAAAAGTTTTTAGCAGAAGTATAAAAAAAACATATGGTACACCAAAAAATACTATAAAAATGGATTTTAAACTTTTAATGTAATAAAAGTATAATAATATTAGAAGATGCGTACCAGTTATAACGTCCAACTCAAGAACGTTACTAATAAGAGGACCGTTTCGAAACACTTGACCACCGATCCCACCATTCGAAAGCGTTCCTCCGACGCTTATATGCAAATAATCCGTCCAAGAAACCGGCGAAACACCTTCCTCCGCCGTCTTTTTCAGCACATCCACCCATAACGTCCCTGCCGCCACGTCAGCGTACTTCTTGTCTTTCGAAACCACCACATCGTCGGCGAGGCATGTCATGTTGACGACTACTCCTCCCGAGACCGAGGCTTGGCCGTTTAAGGAGTGGCCTTGGCCTCGAGCCGCCACTTGGAACGTTGTTTTTTCGTTCGCGGCGTAGTGGAGGAGACGTGATATATCGGAGGAGGAGGAGGGGCAGATAACGCCGCTGGGGGTGACGGTGGTGATGTTTCCGAAGTCTTGAGAAGCGGCGGAGATGGTGGAAGGATTGGTTAAGAGGGTGAGGTTAAGGGATTTAGGTAAATCAATTTTAATGCCTTTGGATGATTTGGTGAAGCTTGAGGATAAACAAATCAAAACCGTGATTAGAGTGATCATAAGACCAAGATTAGCCATTTCTTGATCTCTCTCTCTCTCTCTTTCTGATCGGAATTTGAAGAAGAAAAAAAAGTTATATGATCATCACTATTAAATAGCGATATCCCTATGTTAGTATAGATATTCTATCAAGTTGAGAGGATTAGCCATATTTTAAGTATGGCTAATAGTATATATATAAGTTCAAATTTTGAAGTCAAATGAATATCTCAAATTATGTCAAAAAGAGTAAAACATTTAATGATTTTCAACTTTTTGTGTTAATTACTTGGAGAAAAAAACTAAGCACATCCTCATATACCATAAAAAAAGTGTTGACTATATTTTGGAATATGTATTTTTTTTTTGTTTTGTTTTGGTGAACATTTTGGAATATGTGTTTATCGATGTATAAATATATTAGTATTTTTATTTATTTGTTTAGGAAACTATTTAAATTATTTATCTATAAATAATCTATTAGAATTTTAATTTATTCTTGTAGGAAACTATTTAAATTACTATTCATGAAGAAAATGTAGCAAATATAGTTTATAAGGTTTGTGGAGAACATATATAAAAGAGTAAAACTTAAATTAAAAAGATCTGGTAATGTGCCAATAATGAACATGGTTAGATAAAGGGCATCATAATAAGAACCTAGAGAACCTAGAGGGGAGGATAGTTCAATGATCGGCTGAAAGTGAACTGCTGATTCGAGAGAGGACGTACCTTTCTGCCATGCCCGAATCAAGGCTGGCCAATGCTCAAAGGGTGCACTCTCCTTGAGACTCTGATTTGGATTAGATGGTTCGTGTGAATAAAGTGAGGAGCGCCACACAAGTCTTGTGTTAAGCTAATTGGAGACACATTGACACACACTAAACATAACAAGTTAAGGTTTTCAAAGCAAAGCACAACGTGATAAATAAAAGATATGATCTCTAGCAGTCAAACAAAGAATTAAGTCTAATGCACCACTCAAAAGTGTTGAATTGTCTCTTATATTGTCGTTGGTAACATGTGTGCATAAGTGTGAACACAATCGTTTAAAGAAAGCTCAACTGGTTTAAAACCTAGCTTAAACTTCCATGATCAGTCTTCAAAAGAAATAATGATACGTTGTTGTTGGACATTATAGTTTGTCAGAGTAGATAGTGGAATTGACTTGGCTTTATTGATCGTATGATGCAAATATGTATATAGTACAAAAGAACTAGGTTAATTAAACACATGTAAAACATATGGACTTGGACTAGAAATATATAACCCATGATACTCCCCTTCAAATTGGACTGTGGAGATCACAAATGCTCAAATTGCTAAGTAAATATCGAAATTGAATACTCTCAAAAGCTTTAGTGAAAATGTATGCAACTTGATCCGTAGTCCGAATAAGTTGTGGTATGATAAGTTCCTTTTAAAGGTCTTAACAATATAATTACTCTTTCTAGTTCTTGATAACTTAACGATGACAATCAATATGAATTACGGTAGATCGGACCAAACTAAATCAATATGAATTAAAACAAACTGAAGTACACTGTTTGATCGATGAAATGAAATACATATATGTCTATTATGTCTTGAGCCAATCCATTTGAATTGATGGATTCATGGGTTAACCCAATCAATTTAACACTCAAGTATTATATTTTTTGGGGACAAATACTTCGGAATGTGTGTGGCAAATTTTTATTGGAAACCAAATAATAATATTTAACTGGTATTAGAACGAATGGAAAGTAAAAAAGATTAAACTGGTATTAGAACGAACGAATGGAAAGTAATTAACTGACACGTTTTGATCTATGATAGATAGAGTTGACACGTGTTGTGATCATATTAAATAATTTTGGAAAACCAAGTTAAAATTAAAGGAGAGGTCATCACCGCATATAAATAAGGAGAAAATCACATTTTTAACTTTCAAAGATTGAGTAACACTTTAAACCTCAAAAAGTTTTCACTACCATTATAAACCACCAAAATGATTTTACTAACACTTTAAACCTTAAAAAAGCTTTTATGTTCACACCGCCCAAAAAATAATGGAATAGTAATGTCAATCAACACAAAATATTTAAATTATCTTTGTTAATTTGGGAGAGGGGTGGTTATTGGATCATTGATTTTGATGGATTTGGAAATCCAAACAAAAATCATATGTTATTCAATCACTGATTTTAAAATAAATATCAAAATCATGTGTTATAGGTTGTATGATTTATAAATACTAGTTAAAATCCTATGTTATTCGTTTAGTGATTTTTTTTGGATTTTAAAATCAGCAGTATGTTTTAAATGGATTTGAAAGGATTTGATAGCGTAAAATAGAAGGATTCAAATCCAAAGATAAAACATGTTATTTCAAAATCCATGTATTTTGATTTCATAAATAATAAAGATTCACAAATTCTACGTGGATTTACAAATCAATAAACTAATAACACCCAATAATTTTTAATTAGTTCTCCTCTTTAACAAAAAAAAAAAATACTGCATCTTCATCCCCGATATTATACTCACTTCATTGCTTATGTTCATCTTCCTCGTAGACACAATGCATCTCCATTAGGTTGTGATCTAAATTGATTGATAACTTATTGGAAACTGAAGAATTATCCGCATCTAAATCAGTTAAAGATGTGATATTCTATAATAAGAAAATTAATGTAAAGTCAATGTAATTTCAATTTCTTTCCAAAAAAAAATAAAATAAAGAATTTTGTTAAGTTGTTAGACAAGTCTTTAATATTTTCATATCTAAAAAAAATTTGGTTTGACTAGATTTTGCAAAGCTTGATCTATAAATACTTCTTTGATAATGGTCTTTTTCATCTCCAAGTTACAAATTTACTTATATTTTTATTTATTTCCAATAAAACAAATTGTGATGGAAGCGTTACGAAAGAATGGTCCTTGTTGCATATGCATCACCAAAAATAAAAACTGTCCGAAAAATTGCGAATTTTCGGAGTATTTTCCATATGAATTGTATATACTTTCTTACGTTTTGCCAACATTATTTTATTTTTATTAAACTATCATATTATAAGCATGGTTCTAATTAATTATTAATGCACAATTGTTTTAAATTTTATAGGAAAGATCAGTATGAAAGTGCTAATAATTTGTTTGGCACTCCAAATATCATTAAGACGATGAGACGTGCTCCTGAGAAAGAAAAACAAATGCTTGCAACTTCCATAATCGTGGAAGGTAATGCATGGACGAAAGATCCAGTAAGGGGTGGATTTGGCATGGTGAGAAATCTCATGTGGAAGACTGTACTACACAAAGCCTACCTCCATGAATTGGAAGAAAAAAATTAAGGAAGGAAAGAAAAAGACCGAGCTTCATCTTTAATTTTGTCATTTATTATTGTGTCATAAACGTTTATTGTGTCGTGGCTGTTAAAATCATCTAAATCTTACAACAGTTCATAAAATAAACTGATAGTAGTAATAGTTTCAAATAAATGAAATATTACAATGATTCTATTAAATAGTTGCAATAATTCATTTGTTATGTTAAAAGCCCTCAATATTCGTGTAAAAAACTCATTTTGTTTTTAAAAACAGCAAGCAAGTGAGAAGGACAAGTGGGCTAGTGGTTCTCACCTCTGTTGTCTTCTCACCAGATCCGGGTTCGAGTCCGGTCCCTCTCAAAGAGAGACGTATAATTTGTAATGATGACAAAAAAAAAAAAACAGCAAGCAAGTTATTCTATTGTCTTATTTTAAAGATGAGTAACTAGGTGACACGCGTTCATATTATATTTACTTCATTATATATGCTGATCTCTCTCGTCGACACAATGCATCTCCATGAGGTTTTGATCTAAATTAATTGATTATTCATCAGAAGTTGAAGAATCATCTGCATCTAAGATAGATGTGTATTGTCTTATTTTAAAATGAGTAACTAGGTGACATGTGTTCATATTATATTTACTTCATTATTATTGGAATTCAAACCAATATCCCACATCAGAATATTAAAAAGAGAAGTTTCTAATATATAAGTCAAGTCTAACTCTAATTGTACGTGCGGGCTTGAGTTATAAGTCAAAAACGTACAATATCATACTAATGGAAAGTTGGCTTGGGTTTATAGAATCCAACAATTATTTATGCTGATCTTTCTCGTTGACACAATGTATCTCCACTGAGTTTTGATCTAAATTAATTGATTACTCATCGGAAACTGAAGAATCATCCGCATCTAAAATAGATGAAGATGTGATATTCACTATATAGATAATTTGGAAGATTCTTTGGTTTCCAATGAGAAATCAATCAGTTTGAATCATAACCTAGTGAAGATGCATATGTAATTTCAATATTAATTGATATTGAAAATTTGTGGTTGGACTGTGAGTAATTGTAGAAGGTGAAGTTTTTTATTGTCTTTTCTTTCGTTTTGTAAATGATAAAACTAATTAAAATTTAAACTAAACAAACAGAATTTAACTACTTCATGTTAACGAACAACACTGTTTTTTTGTATGAATGTAAAATTATATTCTACAAAAAAGAACAGTTTTTACAACAAGTGCAACATTTAGATTCAAAACAACAACACTGTTTTCATACTTTATAACAGGGCAAATTAAAAAGCTAATTTTAAGATTTATATTGTTAGGTATATTACTTTGATGGTTTATACTATAGTGTTAGTTAAATTCTCTTGAGGTTTAAAGTGCTACTCTATAGCGTTTGAAAGTTTATAGTGTTGTAAGGTTATCTCATCCTCGCCCTTTCTCGTCTTTTTTCTTCGTTCTCTTGTAACTTCTTTCCCCCATCGCCAAATGTTTTAGCGGATTCGGTAGCCAAGCTTGCTCTCTCTATGTTCGTTGTAAACTCTTGAATATTTCTGCAATGATATTCGATTGACAAAAAAAAAATTAATAATAAGAAATCAAGTTTTCTATAGTAAGAAAATTAATGGAAAGTCAAATGTAACCTCAATTTATTGCCAAAAACAGAATAAGATAAATGATTTGTTATAAGTTCTTAGACAAGTCTTTAATAACATAATATCTAATAATTTCGTTGACTGGATTTTGCAAAATTTTATCTATATTTTTTTTTTTGGAGAATTTCAAAAATACCCCTTTTCAAATAATGATTTTTGGATACATACGTTTATAAAATTAAATTTAACTTAGTTGATACATATATACAATTAATATAAATGGATTCATTATCTTTTTAGATAAGCAATAAATTAAAAGTAATGCATAATTAGGTAGTTTAATAAATAAAAAAATATGGCATGCTGATGTGTCAAGTTTATGAGACCTTCCTTAAATTATAGAATTGGTTTAAGTAAGTTTCATGACCATAACATACATATTATTGAACAAAAGAAAATTCTAAAACTCTTACAGAAGTAAAACAAAACTTTTCACCAAAAGTCAAAGAAAACTAAAAATTGCAAGATATCTTTTGGTTAGTGAATTGTTGTTGTCTTTAAGGGTTAGTCGTAGCTCGTGTTAGTTGTTACATATAAGAAACTGAGACTCTATCGTCATTTTTTATCATTTCGTTATTAATTGTTATTGGTTATTCATTCTAATTTCTTTAATAAACACACATATCTCACCACCTTTAATTTGTATACTTGAAATATTTTTATACACATCACCTCTACTAAACGAACCACAAAGGTTAGCTAAATCGACGATGAAACACCTCTCGTATATTTTACTTTTCATGTCTTTGTGATGCGAAACTGTTTGGGAAAAATTTAGCACACTTCAAGAATTCTCTGAGTTTAGGGAAACAAATCAACATCTTTTGTAAACTGAACAACCAACAACTTTTCATAGTTTTTCTTTACTGTTGAGAAACCTACGATTATAAATTTTCATGGTCAATTTGTTACCACAACCAAAAGCGATTACTAGTATTTTTGGTTACTAGTGTTATGGTTAGTAACGTTTACGGATACTAATGTAATGTTTGTAGTTATGGTAAGTAAAATAATATGTGATTGTTATCAAACGCTAATAACCATAAACATTAGTAATTGTAAACGTTAATTACTATATAACACTAGTAACCACAAATGCTAATAACCGAAATCACCAAAATCCCTACTATAGTAAAAGAGAAGTACAAAAGCTTTTTGGGTCGGGTTTTTTTAAAAAATTAACCCGAAATTTTTCAATTGGATCTTATTAAAAATTTAAAGATATTAAATACCAGTTTCCATATATATTATTTCGAAATCTACCAAATTAATCCATCAATATTGGTTTTGGAAAATACATTAATCTTAATTTGTTTAAGGAAAATACATTAATGTATGATTTTGTATATTGGTTTAACAAATTAACCTAAAAATCAGAAATATAAAATAATTATCCAATTATCCATAATATTTTAAAACAAAATCTTCCTTAAATATCTTATATTAATATATAGATGTATAGTTTTCTCCTATATTAACTATGATTTTCACACCAATTACGGGATAATTTATTTTCAACCATCTTTAATATATTTATTTGGCAATATTTTCGAATTTCTGGCTTGCTTATAAAGCTAATATTTTCTTCAACGCTAACCTAACTCTAAGAAAATATTATCTATATAAATAAGTTTCTGCTACCAGAAAATTGTAACATAAACACAGATTTTACATTTTAACACGATAAGAAATAAGAAATCATTGGCTCTTTATTTGTTTATTCTAGAGATTTGCAACTTTACAAAACTGCATGAAAGGTCCAAGTTAAAATCATGTATTTATGATTATGCGGTGTACCGCGGGTTAATCCCTAAATTTTAAAAATGATTCATAGTATAATATTTATACATGTATATATGTCACATATTGTTCTAAAATTAACAATCCAACTAAAATCATACAATTTAAATAATTTTGAACATATTCGAAACCAACACAAAAAAATACAATCTAAAATGATAGAATTTAATTAATAATCAAAATAAAGTAAAATAAACACAAATAAATTATCCCACAACATACAAATGACTAAAAGCCCGGTAATTTTCCACCGCGCTGTAGCGCGGGTCAGAACCTAGTATACTCTATAAATCAAACGATAATAACCATAAACATTAGTAATTGTAAACGTTAATTACTATATAACACTAGTAACCACAAATGCTAATAACCGAAATCACCAAAAATATACTCTATAAATTTTAGAAATATCTATTTATATTTCTAGAATCCTTATTGATGTATTTAATAATATATCTATTTTATTCGTCTATAATTCATGGTAATTGCAGTTACTAAATACTAACATTTACGGTCACTAATGTAACGTTTGTGGTTATTAAAGAAAGAACTTTCGAAATCTAGTGATTCCGAGCAATTTTAAGTAAAACGATTTATGTGATTGTTGCCAAACGCTAATAACCATAAACATTAATTACTATATAACACCAGTAACCACAAATGCTAATAACTTGAAATCACCAAAAAAATATACTCTATAGATTTTAGAAATATCTATTTATTTCTAGAATCCTTATTAATGTATTTAATAAAAAAAAAAAAATTACCGTGTAAAAAGATTAAAAAAAGTAAATAAATATAAGGGGAAAAGGTGGTCTGTTTGTGTGAGAGCAGTAGAGGGAGGAGAGAGAGACACACAACAGTGAAGAAAAAGACAAAAGAGAGAGGAAAATGGAGAGCGACGAAGCAGCAGCAGCGTCTCCTCAAGCAACGACGCCGAGCGGAGGAACCGGAGCTTCTCTGCCGAAGAAGAGAGGCCGGAAACCTAAAAACAAGGACGATTCTCAGACGCCGTCGTCGCAGCAACCGAGCGGTGGCAAAATGAAGGAAAGCGGGAAGAAAACACCGCAGCAGCCGAGTGTCGACGAGAAGTACTCTCAGTGGAAAGGTCTCGTCCCCATTCTCTATGACTGGCTCGCCAATCATAACCTCGTCTGGCCTTCTCTCTCTTGCAGGTCTTTTACTTTTTCTCCTTCTTCTTCTTCTCTTTTAGGGTTCCGGTTAAAAATCGTATCTTTGGCTTAATCTGTGTTCCTGGGTTATCTTGTATGTTTTGTGTGAGATGCTTTTAACATTCTGATGTGTGGATTGAGTTGCATTTCTGCTTAATTTGATATACAATTGCTGAGAGATGTAGATATATATTTTCTCGATTTCTGGGTTTAAGTGAGATTTTGTTGAATATTCCAGTTAGGGTTTCGTGTTTAGCGTTTTGGATGTAGTTCTTTCTTAAAGACTTGTGCTTACTTCCTTGAAGTTTTCAGATGTATATGTTGTTCTGTTCCTGTGTAATTTGTTTTGTTAGCGTTCATTGGTAAGCCTTAGCTAACACTAATTGTCAAGAAGGCTTTGGTGTGTTACTTTGTTTGTTACAAGTGATTATGAGGAAGTTTGTGGGTTTCAGATGTTTAGCTGTTTTCATATTTGATGAAGTCTTTACTTTTTGTGTTAAGAGGTTCCATTTGGTGATTTGTTGTTTGATTTTTAACAGATGGGGTCCTCAGCTTGAACAAGCAACCTACAAGAATCGCCAGCGTCTGTATCTCTCAGAGCAAGTAGGTTTTTCTCTTTCTCCTGTATCTTAGTCACTCTAACATTTCAGTAAGTTGCCTCACGTTCTTAGAATATGTATCTATTTCTCATCACATCTGTATTTTTCTTGGTTTTGTCACCAGACTGATGGCAGTGTGCCCAATACTCTGGTCATAGCGAATTGCGAAGTTGTTAAGCCAAGGGTTGCTGCAGCGGAGCACATTTCTCAGGTAACTAGTGGGTTTGCTGCTAATCTTGTGCCTTTTCCTTATTATCCTCCCCCACTACAATGGATTTCCTGTTGTGACAATTATTCACTATCTTCTGCAAATGTTCAGTTCAATGAAGAAGCACGTTCTCCATTTGTGAAGAAGTACAAGACCATCATTCACCCGGGAGAGGTGCGAATTCTACCCACTCTAGAGATATTAATGTATTGTCATTGTTGCTTCTAATTCTATTTGGTGCATTTATTGTATCTGCATAGCTGTTCAAATTGGTGCATAAATATTCTCATTTAGCATTTTGGTGAATGTTAAACCCTGTTTTGATGTGTATTCATGACCAATTTACAATTCCAGGTTAACAGAATCAGGGAACTCCCACAGAATAGTAAGATTGTTGCTACTCACACCGACAGTCCTGATGTAAGCTCTGCTTCTTCTATTTTATTTTGGTCATAGCAACTAGAAATATGTCGGTTTTATACCTCTTAATTTTTGTTTTGGACGTATTTCCAGTTTCAGTTATCTAAATACAGTATTTTGATACCAGGTTCTTATTTGGGATGTTGAAACCCAACCAAACCGTCATGCTGTGCTTGGAGCTGCAAATTCCCGACCGGATTTGGTATGTCCACTTTTGCGAACTGTCGTTGCAAATGAATGCTTGGCTTCACTTTTGTTTGTCCTAATCTCATCACTGGAAGTGATATATCTCTTTGATCTTCTTAAATTGTGCTACTTGTTTACATCATCTGAACCATCTTTCGTGCAGATACTAACTGGACACCAAGATAATGCTGAATTTGCTCTTGCTATGTGCCCAACAGAACCCTTTGTGCTCTCTGGAGGTTTGTGTTTCTGTGATTCCTAATGTCCAATCCTGTGGTTTGCCAATTTCTCATTGAAAGTTTGTTCTCTTAGGCAAGGACAAGTCAGTTGTTTTATGGAGTATCCAGGACCACATCACAACTGCTGGGACTTCCGGATCTATCCTCAAACAGACTGGTGAAGGTAGTGATAAGAATGAGAGCCCCACTGTTGGCCCCCGAGGTGTATATCATGGCCATGAAGATACAGTTGAAGATGTGGCATTCAGCCCGACGAGGTAACTTCTTAGAACAGACTCCTTCTTTTGATCTCATGCTCCTTTATGCAATACACAGAATTTTTTTTAATGATGCTTATGGTGAATTTTTATGTTGTGAAGTGCACAAGAATTCTGCAGTGTTGGTGATGATTCTTGCCTTATACTATGGGATGCAAGGACTGGCACAAACCCTGTTACAAAGGTACTCTATCTTCTTAAACCTATCAAATGTTTGAAAATTTATCTACTTTTATCTTTAATTTTGCTTTGTGTACCCCAGGTTGCAAAGGCGCATGATGCTGATCTTCATTGTGTCGATTGGAATCCTCATGACGACAATCTGATCCTGACAGGGTATGGAGATGATTAATACACTTAATATCTGAAGTAAGAAAACGTTTAGCATATGCATACATGTACTAATTAGATATAGTGGAATGTTTCAGGTCAGCAGACAACACTGTCCGGTTGTTTGATCGTAGAAACCTTACCTCAAATGGGATCGGTTCGCCTATTTACAAGTTTGAGGGCCACAAAGCTGCTGTTCTTTGTGTTCAGGTTTCAACAACTGCTATAATTTTATCCTTCTTCATATGATGTATATCTCTTAACCCACTGATACCATCTTCTTAATCAATATAGTGGTCTCCTGATAAGTCATCTGTTTTTGGGAGTTCCGCAGAAGATGGTCTTTTGAACATCTGGGATTATGACAGGGTACGTAATTCACTCGGAGATGTCTGAAGTTAGTCTCTCTTTACTTTCATCACAGAAAAACATTTCATTGTACTCATGTTGGTTTTGTTTGATTGTCCATCAGGTCAGTAAGAAGTCTGATCGTGCAGCTAAAAGCCCTGCTGGACTCTTCTTCCAGCATGCTGGTCACAGGTTCTTAATGAACATAATCCTAATTCCCTATTTACTTTCGCATTAACTTGCTTCTAAGTTCCTTTATTTGTATACTTACATAGGGACAAAGTTGTCGATTTCCACTGGAATTTGTCGGACCCTTGGACCATTGTCAGTGTTTCTGATGACTGTGAGACAACTGGTGGAGGTGGAACATTGCAGGTAACCTCTAAACACTTTCTTGGTACCTCAACGAGTCTAAATGAAATTTTATGGATGAAACTGAAAATGTTGTTTATACTTACTTCTTTGGCAGATATGGCGGATGAGTGACTTGATTTACAGACCAGAAGAGGAAGTCCTGACGGAATTGGAGAAGTTCAAGTCGCATGTAATGACTTGTGCCTCCAAGCCTTGAGAGTAAAGAAATAAGCACCGTTGTCTATCTATCTATCTATCGACAATGGTAAACTAATGCGGTTTAGATGTCGGTTTAGCGAGGAGTCTTGTGTTTTTGAAAACGCTGGTTTGTCTTTGGAGATATTAGTAGCTTTTAGGATTTCCAAATTATTTAGGGGTACATGATTTTGGTTCTTGATCATGTATCATCAGACTCTTAGGTTCTGGCTTACTGAGATGTTAATCGAATCGGACCAATGCTTTAAAGTTTCCAATGCTTGGCCTGAACCTAACGATTCCTTCTCTGAAGCCAGACCAGACCAACAAAATTGTGTTGCATCGTGCCTGCTAGTAAAGTAAAATAACGGTTTTCTCTTTTTAAAACAAACAAGTAAGATACAGTATAAGCATCCCAAAAATTGGAAACTGGATTCTTCATTCCCAACGCTTATATTATGTTTGGATTGTATTCATATAGAACTGCTAAGTGTTTCTTTTCTCGCAATTGTCGTCACGTTTAGCAATAGGACTTGGAAAATTTGCATATGTAAACTGTACACAGATTTATTTTATGAAATATTGTTTTCACATTATGGGCTTTACGTTAATGGTCCCAAGTCTTAATAGGCTTTATCAAAAAGTCTCTTGATGAGTGAGAGACTTTCCAAACCCAATCGCAATAGCATACATGATACCGTCAAGATCGGTCAGAGAAGAAGATCAAAATCGAAATAACTTTGTTCCAAAACACAAAAAACAAAGCAAAGAGAGAAACGTGTATCAATCTATTGCGTGAGGAATAAGGCAGGGAAGCAAATCAATCCAGAGTAGGAGAATCAGGGGACGTTACCAAATTAGGGTTTTACAGACCTACATTATCTTTTCTCTTCCGACGATACTTAATTGCTCGTGAAACTCTAAAAAAAACTCGAGGGGTTTCGCGAAAGCTCCATCGGAATCGATGGAATCATCTCCGTCTGGATCCGAACCTCCTCATAAAGTGGTTTCTAAACTACAAAAAGTTGGCTGGCGAGCTACTATGATCTTCAATCTCGGTTTTGCAGGTCAGAAATTTTATTACTTTCTTTCTCAGTGGGTTTTTTAGTTTTGCGTCTATAATGTGTTTGATGTAATGCCTAGCTGACAAATTCCTTCCCTTTTCTTTATTAACTTCGTGAGAAAAAATACGAATACTTTTAGTAATCATATGTATGCTACAACTTATCGCTGGAACCATTGTCCTTGCTTTGATTATCCAAGAAATCTGATTATTCCATGGCATTACTCCCAAGATTGTTTGATTCACCATACTGTTATCTTGATATTTTGAGCATGCTCATAATTTTCTTGGACCTGCATCTTACAGACAACTATCTATATTTGGCTAAACAGTTATGTTGAATAGAAGATACACATTGGTTCTTGTAGATTTACTGGCTCATGGACATGATTGCACATCTTATTGTCTTGTGCATTCTTTTGAAATGTTTCAGCATACTGTGTAGCCTAGGTTTGTATGTGGCATATTCTCGCTAAACCCATTGCTGGAAGAAGTATAAGCTTGGTCTGAATCAGAACTGAGAAAAGCATGCTTGATTTCCGGCATTATAAGCAGTTTGGATATGGTACCGTACAGCATTCATGATAGTCCGTCCACTGTAATGTTTGCTGATTTTGATCCCTTGTTTCTGCAGCTTATATATTTGCGATAAAACGAGAAAAGGACATTGATGCGGATGAGAAAAAGAAAGGGAAAAAGGGTAGCGAGGCCAGAAATAAAGGTGTGAAAAAGGGTGGTGTTAGCACTGATGATGTCGAGAAGAAAGTTGCAGAAAACAGCAGAGTTGCAGAGACTGATAAGGCTAAGGAAGCAGAAAGTGCATTACCAGTGAAGGAAGAAACGAAGCCAATCCCTGAACTGGATCCGCTGTTTGAGTTCACAGATGCAGCTGATCAGTCAATGTTTCAGACTGTGGCAACTGAACCTGTAAAGGTGGCAAGGAAACCGATTCCAGAAGATGAGCAAAAGGAGCTGTTCAAGTGGATTTTGGAAGAGAAAAGGAAGATTGAACCAAAAGACAGGAAAGAAAAGAAACGAATCGATGAAGAGAAAGCTATATTGAAACAGTTTATTAGCGCCAGTAGGATTCCGAAACTTCTCCCCGATGATTCCGTTGATTCTTCCCTCCGTGATTGGGACAAATTCTTCTCCAACTAGAAACAGTCAAACAGAAGAAACTAGTGTACTTGTTTTTTTGTTAGTACACCAAACGACCTTTGTTGCCTTTTTAGTTTTACTACTCTGATTGTTGACTCTAATCAACGAATAGTTCTTAAGGGACCCGTTTGAAAATGTGATTTCTCTGGGGTTGAGATTGGTGATTTTATAAAACTATGGGGTAATATTTATCTTTCGTATAAGATAAAGGACTTAAACATAAATCCAATAAACAGAAGGCGTTTCTGAGAAAGAGGGTATAAATAGCTTAAACCCTAGAGAAACCGAAGAATCCTAAATTGATCACTCATTTCATCCTCTTCACTAAGTCGAACGCTTGCGAGTAAATTAAAATCAGAACGGTGGAGATGGTTCGCAGCTTAAACCCTAAGAAATCAAAGAGGAAGAACAAGGTTCGAACTTTTGAATCTAAATCTTCGTCTCGTATTCAATTCTCCAATCTGATGATATCGTCAAATCAAAACCTAATCGTGTGAATTGGATTATTTTTTTTGAATTAACAGAAGAAGGCAGCTGAGTCTTCTTCCGAGATACCTTCGATACCAACAAGGGTTTGGCAACCAGGTGTTGATACGCTCGAAGATGGAGAAGAGCTTCAGTGTGACCCTTCTGTTTACAATTCCCTTCACGGGTTCCATGTTGGTTGGCCGTGTTTGAGGTAATTTCATTTGTAATTCAATTCACGTGTTCGTGTTTGAATCGAAATGGTGAATCTAGAGGTGAATATGTTCATATAGTTTAGAGAATAATTCCCATTATGTTCTAAATGGGAAGCTTCTTCTTTGTTATTGAACACTGTAACTAGCAAGTGTATTATCTTAAAGTATGAGTCATTAAGTTGAAGTTTAGTGTCTGTGAATGATTACTATGCACGTTATGGTGATTTGATGGCTTTCTATTGCTTTTTCAGTTTTGACATTTTAGGTGATAAGTTGGGATTGAACCGAACTGAGTTTCCTCACACACTGTATATGGTGGCTGGGACTCAGGTAAGTTTTGTACTTTTCACATGTCTTCGTATGTATTTGTACATTTAAAATCTTGTGGTAAGTTGCTAACTCCTGGAACAATGTTCTCTCTTTTCTTTAGGCTGAGAAAGCAGCTCATAATTCCATTGGATTATTTAAAATCACCAATGTATCTGGTAAGAGACGTGATGTTGTGCCCAAGACATTAGGGAATGATGAAGATGGTATGGAGGATGAGGATGATGACGATGACAGTGACAGCGATGACGAGAGCGTCGATGAAGCTTCCAAAACTCCAAATATTCAGGTAATTCTTGATTCATTTTAACTCTTCTGTTAATAATATTTGTTCTCTTTGAAACTCAAGAGAGTTCTCCTGGTTGATTTTTGTTTCTAAATTTCGTTATACAGGTTCGCAGGGTTGCTCACCATGGATGTGTTAACCGTATACGTGCAATGCCACAAAATTCTCATATCTGTGTCTCTTGGGCAGATTCAGGCCATGTACAAGTAAGATTATGTCCTTTATATTTCTGAAACTGAATTATTAGTTCATCATTTGGGCAATACGGAATAAACTATGAAGATATATTTTTTTTGTTACTTGCATAGCTTGGGTGGTTGCAGCGTGGTTGTTTTTGTGTCTGGATGGTTGCTTATATGTTTCTATGTTAAATTGGATTAGCTTTTGTGTTTTTTTTTCAGGTGTGGGATATGAGCTCTCATCTTAATGCTTTAGCCGAATCAGAAACAGAAGGTAAAGATGGAACTGCACCGGTTCTTAACCAAGCACCCTTAGTTAACTTTTCCGGCCACAAAGATGAAGGCTATGCAATAGATTGGAGTCCTGCAACCGCCGGAAGACTTCTTTCCGGTATAATTACCTCTGAAATTTCTGCAATACTCAAACAATTACATATACTTTTCAAATATTCAATAAATTTATCTTATTTTCCACTGGCTAGGGGACTGCAAGAGTATGATTCACTTGTGGCAGCCAACTCCTGATTCATGGACTGTTGATCCTATTCCGTTCGCCGGGCACACTGCAAGTGTTGAAGATTTACAAGTAAACATCCACTTTGTAACTAAGTTGTATATCTGTTGTTACCATTTCCTTTTGGCTGATCATTCTTTTTCTTTTTCCAGTGGAGTCCAGCCGAAGAAAACGTGTTTGCTTCATGTTCTGTGGATGGGAGTGTTGCAGTCTGGGATATCCGACTTGGGAAGTCGCCTGCACTATCTTTCAAGGCACATAACGCAGATGTGAATGTCATCTCATGGAACAGGTTCTTGTGCCACTATGCTGTATGACTTTATTCTGTTCGGTTTTGTATCCCACAAATGTCTCAGTCTTAATTTTTTTTTTTTGTCATGAAGGCTGGCTAGCTGCATGTTGGCCTCAGGAAGTGATGATGGGACATTCTCCATCCGTGATCTTAGACTGATCAAAGTACGTAAATAACCATAGCTTTGTATTTTCTATGGCAATCTCTTAACAAGATTCTGATATAATAGCATATAAATCTTGAACTAGGGTGGAGATGCTGTGGTAGCACATTTTGAGTACCATAAGCATCCTATTACATCAATTGAATGGAGCGCTCATGAGGCTTCGACACTTGCAGTCACTTCCGGTGATAACCAGCTCACGTAAGCCGGAAAACGATACACTGGTTCTCTCCAGAAAAAAAGGAAAATACTGTATCAAATGTTTTTTGCTATCTGTTGTATTTGCAGGATATGGGATTTATCCTTAGAGAAGGATGAAGAAGAAGAGGCAGAATTCAAAGCACAGACCAAGGAGCACGTGAACACACCTCAAGACTTGCCTCCTCAGCTTCTCTTTGTCCACCAGGTAACATATTCACTTCAGCATCTTATGCTCGGGTTAATTTGATTCATGATAACCTTATTTTTTTCTTGGAAACACAGGGACAAAAGGACTTGAAGGAACTTCACTGGCACAACCAGATTCCGGGGATGATCATTTCAACCGCTGCTGATGGTTTCAACATCTTAATGCCTTACAACATTCAGAACACACTTCCGTCTGAGCTACCTGCCTGAAAGACCCAGCCTTTGTCTGAAAACTCTTAAAAGTATTACTCATAGTTTTGTGTTGTCCTCTCTCTCTGTTCTTCCATGTACCTTTTTGTTTCAAGAACCTTACGCTTTCAAAATTTTCAAGGTTTCATATCATGGATGGGTTGATTGATTTCCAGTTGTGACAAAATGTCAATTTTGAGTAACATTCACATCTCCCAGGAACACAAGCCAACAGTTAAAAACTGTAGAATTTGAATCTTGTCGCTTTCATTGTAATATTAAACCAAAAAATACACTTCAATATTTGGATTGAATGTAACTAGAAACAAATTGAGTTTGAACATAAATTTTGATGAAACTAATGAGCAAAAAAAAACACATGAACTCATTTGGCATCATGAACTATTATCCAAAGACAAACTGACTAGTTATTCTTCAACAATCACAGTCTTTATAAACTCCACAACCGTTGAAACCAATTGCTTCTGATGTTTGGTGTAACCATGATTAGCTCCTTCCACAATCACCAGCTTGTGGTTTTGTATGACCTTTGCAAACTCTTCAGCATCTCCCACAGGTACTACAGTGTCATCAGACCCATGAACCGTCAAGACTTTGCATTCTTTATCAATCTTGAGACAAGCTTTATGCATATCCGTGTTCAACCTATCCATTAAAGATTCTTCCGTGTCCTCTACGGCATCGATGTATCCTTGTTCCTTAATCTTTTCCTTATAATCATCTCCGAGACGTACGCCTTTCGTAAGATCAAAACGTCCAGAGATATTCACCACATTGCGGATACTATCTCCTCCATGCTTAGACGCATAGAGAAGAACCACATCACCTCCTTTACTATGCCCGAGAATCACAGGAACCACACGGTTCATGTCATTAGACAAGTGCTGGATAACGTAATGCAGATCATCATCAGCTTCACTGTTGAAGTTGCCATAGTAGAAATCGCCTTGGCTCTCTCCGTTACCAGAGAAATCGAAACGAAAAGCGCTGATGCCTTCTTTGGCTAAAGCCACAGCGATGTTTTTGAGAATGGTGTTGTCCTTGTTCGATCTGAATCCATGACACAAGACCACAACTTCTTTTGATTCTGTCTCGTGAAGCAGACCAACGAGCTTCTCGCTGCGGCTGTTGGGAATCTCGATCTTTGTACCACCCTTCTTCATCCTCAGACTTGTGTTGCTTACATTTAACTGTAGAGACCAAAATTATTTATATAACATAAACCCTAATTTATTATATAACTAAACCCTAGTTGAACACAAAAATTACTCAAACTCGGCCAAATCGGAAGATAAATTAAGAACAAAATAGAAAAAAAAAAGTTGCAGAAAACTGGGAGACGAGATCGAGGAGAAGAAGAAGATAGGTGGGAGAGATTAAAGATTTAATAAATTGGGGTATCTTAACCCCTAAGATACCCCCAATAATGATGCCTTAGTAAAAGATGGAAAATAGGAGAAAAAAGTTATAGATGATGATGTTGAAAAAAAAAAAAAAAAAAAAAATTATAGTTGATGATAAATATGAGTAAGTGGGCTAAAATTTTGAATATTTCCAATTTAGTTAGAGACAATATTTAGTGAACAGTACATAATTATCATAATTATTTCGAAAATTGATCAACACTTAAAATCGATTAGAATCGATTATCAAACGATTAATCCTCGATTAGATGCTAAACCTCTATCAAGCGTCTAGCTAACGCCTAACGGATTTTTTGAACAATAGATAATAAAAATTACACTTTCCGAACCAGAGAAAAAAATAGAAATAAACAGATAATGTACAACGCCTACATTTTGTACATTATCTGAATAATAACAAGGAAAAGGCAATTGATAAAACAAATTTCCTTTTTTCCAAAATCATGTGAAAGAAATTTCTAATATTATGCAATTGATAAAACAAATCTATCTTATTATTTTTGCAACCCTTTTTTGACCACCCTTTTAAAAAATCGATTTCCACTAATTACCCTTACTACTAATCATTTTTAAAAAGCTCATTAAGGTTACTTGTGTAATATTAATTATCGGGTCGGTTTTTCATTTTAATTTTTGACCCGATTGCAAATGATGGATCTTAGTCTTTTATTTAAGAAAAATCGAAGTTGTCATTATTATAGTAAACATAATAAATACAATTTAATATGATATCAAAGTTTCAAAAAACTAGCAACATTAACTACTAATCAAATTTTAAAACCTAAAAATAAGGGAACTAATTATATCGGTTCCAAGCTATAAATCCGTTTTTGGTAATCAACACAATCAATTCCATATTATTATTATTATTCCCTTAAAATATAAACAGTAATCATATTAATGTACCGAAACAAATTTCCCTAAATATCTACCTACAAAATCGAAAATGGAAACTGATTTATTGTCATGAATCAAATAAATTACATAGACTTGGAAAATTTCTTAAAAATCAGAATTTAATTATGCGAATAATTAGTCACTAATTTGTTTGTAAAACAATAAATCTTATGCGTAAATAATCTCCTATAAATAGTTGGGACCTAAACACTTTGACACTCAGACAAATGTTCTTTTAAAATAGATCCTAGCTAGGTCGTAATATGCTCTATTTCCGATTATGATTCTAATCTGAAAATATGCTATATTTCCGATTATGATTCAAATAGCTTTGTTATTTTGACCTAATAAGTTTTCAGTGAGTTTAAAGAAAATTAAATAACCATGACTTTCTTTTTTCTGTGTTTGTGGTGGATACAGCTTTGTAAAAATGCTAGAAGAACAAGATTGTGAAGCACTGGTATGTTGCACTTACTCTCCTCTTCTCAACGATTCCCATGATCAATTGAAGTTATTTTCTATTCTTACAATATTATTTTTCTTTCTGCAGCTCATGATCTTGAGAGGCTACAGCTTTTGAACGAGTATGACTCATTAACAGACATTGTCTATCTCCCACACATGCATGCACTTTCTGATCATATTTTTCAGCTCAAGAAATATATATAGATATCAATAGTAAATGTGATCATGGATATGAATATTTTTCAAGCATAAATACCAAATCTTATTAAGCAATATAAATGATGAATCAAAATATAATATATTATTTTAGCAAATATGAGTTTAATTATAGTGCATTTAAAAAAAAACTACGCATATGTATAGTTTTTTCGAACTCCACGACATATATTCAATAACGAATATTATTAGTTATTAAAATTACACCAAAATATATACTACTAGCAGTTGACCCGCGCTGCGCGCGGGAAGTTTATAATTTTTTTGTAAACTTTTTATTTATATGTGATATTTTATTTATTTTTAATTGATTTTGAAAACATATTATAGTTATTTTCTCTTGAATTATTATCTTTCAATATTTAAATTTGGATTAAAAGCATTTTCCTATTGATCATGTTATAAACTAATATTTCACTTTCAATTTTATTTTTTCCCTTTAAAATTTTATATATACAATTACATAAATGTTGTTTTTATTCTAGCATAAATTTAAAATTTACTTACATTCTTAAGCTCTTTAACACATTTAAAATTTTAAATTATGATCAATTTAAAATGAAAGTTGAATTATATTAATACCACTAACTAATAAAAAATGATAGTATTTCTTATTTAACATTTCATTTATTTACATAATTTATTTTTATCTATATAAATTTTCTATTAATTAAATAAGTAGCATAAATATGCACTAAATGAATGTTTTAAATTTATTTTAATGTAAAAAAATATGGCTTAGGTGGATGCTTAGGTGGCATCATGAGAAGAGAGAAAAACCTAACTTTATATATATAGATAACAAAGTAACATCTATATTAAAAACAAGAAAGTTACCACAGGGTAAATTTGGTAAATACAACGACATATATATAACATCTTAACATTTATATTAACTTAAAAAATCATATTAGTAAACTAATTAACTCATTTTAATGATTAATTTAAAAAAAAATGGACCCGTGGTTTACCAAATGATTTAAAAAATTAACGTATATGTAAAGGTTCATACGATTTAATAAAATTTTATGTTTTTAATTATTATAACTATAATATTTTAACTAATAAATTTAAACTGAATTAAAATTTTAAGATATTATAAATATTTAAACATATATAAAGTTTAACTTATCATATAACGGGGTTATATAGTAGGACGGGTTATTACTTTTTTTGGAGGTCACCTAACGGGTTATAACAATATATATAAAATAACATAGAAATATGGATAAATAGTCATTTTATTATTTTATTAACACGATCAATATTTAAAGTAAGAATAACTAAAGTATTCTTATTTTTCACTAAGAGGGCGATTGGTGATGACTTTTAAGGCTTTAAAATGGTTTTAAAGCCTTAACAGTAATTAATTTGCCAATCAACATTTTTTGCTTTTATTTTTTTTAAAGCATTAAAAGTCACTTCTATTTTTTCCTTCTTTGTTTTCTCATTTTTCTTAAAGCGTCAAAAACCTGACTTTAAATTTAATCAATTAAAAAGATTTATTTTTCATATTCTCGTTACATTTAAAACCTTTTCACAAGTTTATAAATATATTTTATATATTTTATTTTTATAAATTAATTACTCTCATTTTTTTCTTGTTCTTTTAAGATCCATTTCAATAATACTTTTATTTTATAAATTCATTTATGATATAATGTATATTTATTAGAAATATAAAATAATAATAATAAAAATAACATACATAACTTTAAAAGCTGTTCATTGCCAATCAAATTTTAACAGTAAAAGTTTCTACAGCCAAAGCATCTACAGCCAAATTCTCTGCAGCCAAAATTTTAAAGTTAAAGTCTCTACAGCCACAAGTAACAGTCGTTACCAATCGACCTCTAAGTTATTTCTCAAACATTAAAATTGAAAATTTACTATAATTTTGTAAATCACTCTTTTTGCATTTTAGTATAAAGTTTGATTCATTCCCATTACTTTTCTATATCTAAAATTAGTCATACTTCCTATTTGAAAATATATTAAAAAATATTAAAATTTCATACAAGATGACAAATTTTACTGTAACATCTATATTAAAAACAAGAAATTCACCATAGTATAAATTTGGTAAATAAAAACAACATATATATAACACCGTTAAAATATAATTATTAAATGTATTAAAATATAATGAATATTTAAATTATAAAGGTTAGAAATATCATAAAACGGGGATATATTACAGAATATGATATAAGGTACGATGATTTACTCATTATTCCCACGAATACGGGTTAAATATTTATTATTCTGCTAACACCATCAATATTAGAATATTAGACTTATCTAATTAAGTTCATTAAATTAATGTTATGTAAAACATGTAACCTTGCCGTATACGATGTTCTACAAACAAAATTATAAAATTTTAAACACTATACAAAACAAACATTACTAACAAACAAACAAATATAACTTAATTTTTTTATATAATTAGTTATAAAATATTTATAAGATTAATTTTTACGTATCATTTCATTCCACGTGTCATGTATCACATAACGTTGAGTACTAATTTTAGTTTCATTATATTAATATATCAAATCCAACAAATATTAAATGCAATAAAAATACAAGTTTTATTGCAAATAGACAAAAAAAAAATATAACACTGCCTCAATTGTATTAAGAGTTAAAAAAAAAAGTCAATCAGTTTATAATAAAAATCATAAAAAAAATTATAAAAACATAAATTAATAAATTTTCTCGTGGTCATGTACCATAGGGTAAATTCTCATATATAAGTACAAAACCTGATATATATATACCGCAAACAATACATTATTCCCGCTGGATTTCGAATAATATGCTTAACCAACTCTAATTAGAACAGATTAAACTATAACCGATTAGAATTCTATATAAGAGAGACACGTTAAATGATGGACCCGTGGTGTACCACGGGGTAAAATCTAGTTTCTAATATTTTTTAAGAAAAATCTTTAGAATATACCAATAACAAATTATTGTGTTTTGGCCATAATTGACAAAAAGGTTTCTTTTTTTATGAACATTTCCTTAGAGATGTATTCTTCTCTTTTGCTCTCGTTCTTGTGAGCTCTGTGCTCATTGATGTGAAAAATTCAAGCCGGTAAAACAAGTGTTCTTATTACTTTTTACTATTCCTTTTACTAAACAAAATCGAACTGACGATATCATCAATAATCATATAAAGTAAAGAATGAGATTAAGCTCAGGTTTCTTGATACAACAACAAAAACAGCCCCGCAGGGTACACTGTGTACCGTACACATATAT